TCAGTAGTCGATAAGTAACTCCACAATGAGGAAAAAAAAAAGCAAAAAAACGCTTCAAGAACTGCATTAACAAAACCCCTGCCTGACAGTCACACAGCCTCATTGTACGAGTTCTCAGGACAGTTAGGTCACTTTTAGGGGTTGTTTAGTGTCAAATCTAAGGTTTCCAGGGAGCTACAGCTGTCCACCTCGCACATGAGTAGGTTAGTTTACAACGTATTCTTCTTTCAAGACCGGCTTTTCTGAAGAATATCACAGTGCCATGATTGAAAGCACGCCTCAGTCCATAGGACAGAAAATACAGTGTGCAGAAGTCACAATGCACAGTCCACGATAAGAAGTCGTAGAATGATGGAAATGTGCTCAGAGAGAGAAATCTCAGTGCTATTGTGTGTGTGTGGGTAGAAGATAGATAGACCAATCGATATGTTTAGATATATATTTAACCTACATAGTTCGACATCTGGAAAAACGTCGCATCGTTGGGCGACCAAAACTCGGCGGTGGCATTTCATGTAAAAAGAAACTGAACACCGCGAAAGACAAGTGAAAAACAGTAAAAACTCTACGGATTTAACTGTTTCCCCATGGAGAGCGCTACTGGGTGAAGTTTCAAGCGGTGAGGGTAAGGAAACGGCTAAATCTGCAAAACTTACTTGATTCCGTATTCTTTCGGCGATATTTAGGCAGATTCGCCGGATATTCACCGCTGAGGAAACGTTTCGTGGTTACTGGAAACATATTCCCAATTCGTTCCATGTACTGATTTCTCATCCGAAGCGCTTCGATAAGATGTGTCGCCGCATCTTTCAAATCCTCTAGCGGCACCTGGAATGGATATCTGGATGAACTCGGTCGTTGCAACTGAATTAACTTATAACCAACAAGCTTCATCGGAGGACATCAGAGGTTTCTCCACTCGTATCATAAGTATCCACCTTAGTCACCCAAGTCATCCACCTTGGTCCCAAGCATTGACTGAGGATTCCTAAGATTTTCCATGTATATTCATAACCAGACTTTGGTACTAAAATTGGGCTATGATTTCCTAAACAAGTCGGTTCGACGGACTTTTACATGGGTTGAGTCCTGCTACCTACATACCTGAGAAACGGTGGAAAGTGACTGCATTCCGACTTGAATAGCGTGGAAATGAATTTTTTTGTGAGATGCTCTGAATTTGGAGGCGAGTGATGGTTGTACAAGTGACGTGCTCACCACCTGCGCGGGTCCTGCGGTTCAAATAGCCGCGGCTGACTTATAGGCCCGGGCAATCAAGCCCTCTGCCCTCCAATGACGGTAAATATGGTACCAGATTGTCGTGGAGGATAAAAACGCCTGATCGCAAGTACATCGGTTGGCCCCCACAAGCATGGTCATAAGCCACATCGCATTCGATACGCCACTACGATTCTGGATGGAAGTAGGATGTGTGCCGCATACCACCTCTTATCTGAAGTTGAAACAACTTCATCCTACTCCGATCAGGGACAAAGACATGATGGATAAGTACGCGGGCGAGTTTGTTCGACGGGGGGGCATTCTGGGCTTGCCATACGGTGTTCGACCCATCTAGGCAGCCGTTTCTCGAGTTGACACGTTTTAGGATAGTGGCTAGACGATCTTACTTCAGCTTCACAAGAGTTCACAAGTTTTACCAGAGTGAGATGTAAAACCTAGGGGGGAAGCAACTAGGGCGCAAGCCACTTAACTAGGGAAGCAGTGATAATACAAAACTGCCCCCCCCCCCCACCGTCTTGACAAAACAGCGCCTGCGAAGTAGCCAATGGTGCCAAAATGACGAAGGAGCTCTCGAAAAAGCGCTGCCATTCAAAAGCGGCCACGCTGCTTGCGCGCACGTGATTGAACGCGGCGTTGCGTGGCCACGCCCGTCCGCATCTCCTATATGGAAACTAAGGTATGTGCCGCTAAACTGTTACGAATTAATGCGCCGCATTATACGGTTAATAGTGAGTGCGCACATTCATATGGGGTGGAAAAGAGCCCGCTAATGACATATTTATAGTGGTACATGCGTCCGAGAAGTAAGACAATGTTTACCGAAAATGCGACAAAAAGTGACCTAAGTGTCTACATTTCTTGTCTGCATGAAATCGTTTTCGCCAATCGAAAAATGGCTGCAAATCAAGGAGGATTGCCGCGCGCGACGAAGGGGCAGTTTACGATTCACTTGCCCGTCTCCAGGAAAGGTACATGGATATTAGCAGAAAATGATAACTTATTGATGAGGGTTGATAAGGGTTGGTAAAAAGTGATACGGAACGGCTGCCATCATTTTTGCATAGATCAAGATCTACAGCTGCCGCGGAAAGGCGGAGGGGGTGGGGGAGGGGCTGAGCCTACTTGGTCCGGCGATAACCGTTCAATGTGAGAAGAACTTCCTGAACTTACACCCGAGAGCTCTTCACCGGTGATAGCCATTCGCTGATAATTGACATCGACAGCATCTCTGTAAAAATTCACCATGAACTGAGTCCTGACCGTCACCAGATTACGAAAATCTATTTTTAGCAAGCACTTGTCATGACAAGCTGTACCTGAATGTGTGCATTTCGACGAGTTGTGGACTTTTACAGCGGGCTTCAATCTCCTCTTGTAGACCAGCCGGCAGTTTCGGCGACAAGCACGTGTAGTCATTTTGAGATTCGAGACGGGCTCTGAAATGTGGAAGCATTTAGGCAGGACCCGTGAAACCCCCCTTAATCTGCCAGTGATAGCATGCATACAATACTACCGACAAGCACATACAGCGTGTACAGGATAGTTTTGTAGAAGACCAGAAATGGAATAAAAGAAAGAAAATGAACCGAGAAAGAAGTCCTGCCGTAATAATGTTAACTTACAAGCCGTAGATGATTAGACACCTAGACATGCGCGCTTGTCAGCTGAGAAATATGTGGCGCCTATGGCTCAGCTCATCGTGGCTTACCAAAGGAAATCTTATAAGCAGCTCAACATTATCACATGGAAGACCTTTCACTTCAGCGGAAGCCACATTACAAGTGGATAAAAATCCAGCAACATTACTATGAAGCCACTATCATCTCCAAGACAGAGAGGTGTTTCATTCAGCAGAAACCCACTTCTTTGCAGAACGGGGAGGGGAGGGGGGGGGCTAGGACGCAACTTTTTTCATAGTTGTGAAAATGAGAGAGGGACAGCTCGATGGCAACAATCTCTTACAGGTCATCCCCTAGGGCACATCATAGTTGCCCCCCCCACCTGTTGGGGGAAGGGGCTGAGTCGTATCTGGTCGCTGTGGGGAGGTGAGGGCGTATTTACCTTCTGATCTTCTCCTCCTCCCTCGACAACTCGATCGTATCAGGACAGGGAACTAGGGGGGTCGTATCAAGCCACCCCCTAGGGCGAGGGTCGTATGGACTCGAGCAAAAACCCTACCCAAGATGTGCCCTAATCCCATCTGGATACACAGGGATTCTCCGAAGTCTTCCGATAAGTCATTCACCGGACAGACGGCCAAAACAATCGTAGTTTGCCGCTCAGTCGCGCACAGCGTGTATCAGTCTATCGATTGGAGCTCTTGAGATTCCACATAGACTACATCATCAAAGACATTCATGGCCATTTCTGGCTACATTGTCCACTGTCTCCATCTAAGAAGTAGAAAGATTGGCAATTTTGGGCGCGACGTTGCACGCGACGCCTAACAGCGCCGGTGAAATACGATTGTCATGTCACATACCCCAGGTCACCGCCACTGCGCGCGCAGCGAATTCCGCCGTGTGGGTGAGGGCTAATTATCTGAATGTTCTTCTAATTGATTTCTCGAAATTCAGCTCATGAGCGTTGGACCTTCCAAATACGGGACTTTCGAAGGGCTCCAGAGCACCGAGATAGGTCTTGGCATGCGTGCAGCGACCTCCTGACGTGGCTGGGCGACCAGATCGAGGTCTTGGGTGGTGGAAGGGCAAGTAGCACGCCTACCACTGAGCGGTTTTGTGGCTAAAACCCGGACCAGCTCCCACTCTGACCTACCAAGCATTTCACCCTCCGGGAACGCACCAGGTTTGTCTGGGAGGATAAGGGCACTGATTTACACATCAACTGGCCACTGCGAGTCATTGTATAGGCTTCACCGAAGCAATAAGCCACGACGATTCTGACGACTTGATCCTTATCCTTTTTATCTACCCCTTATCAGCATTCACAGAGATTATGAATGTAGTACGTAATGAGCCGATTACATCAAAGAGAACCAGTGATGTTGTGGTAGTGGTGCATAGTAATCCTAAAACAATCAAAACTAGCGTGGGCACCATGTGATCCTCCCAAATAATCTCGTTCGGATCAAATACGCATCAACATTCAGGCTGCGAACGCTAGAACGTGTCAGAGGGACTAAGTTTGACGCGGCGCCAGCCAGTTTCCACCGGTTATGATCGCCTGCCGCCTTTCACAACTGTTGGTGGACCTGCTGGCGGGAATCGAGTGTAAATAGTAAGTACGCTGGGCGTCGTTTGGCTGTAAGGGGCGTCTCAGTGGAGACGCACTGGATTTTTTTACGGAATACTGGTGTTTTAATGAGAGAGTTTTCAGAAACAGGCCTTTCGAGCGGCACTGAATTGAGGTAGACTCCCATATTGGTCAGTCAGCTAAATGGTGGTAAACTCATGCGAGGGGAGGAAACCGCCAAGGTTCCTACTAGATGGTCACCACGCATTATTCCCATAGCGCATTCTAAATGCCACTAGAGCTTCCCACTAATGCTCGCAGGTTC